AATATATATAGATATATATATAGTTTGGTACAACTACCTGGTTGTTATAACGTAGGGACAGGTGCAGGAACATACCACTCTACGTGTGGTGCGCCTCGTGCTAAAACATACACTCGTAGCATACAATAGGACACAATTGAAACCCATAGTTAACACAAAAAATGTCATTAAGTCGAACCATATACACATAGTACAACATGTCGTAGGAGCATTTTCTCTCATAGCGATGGTGTGTTGTGCACATGTATTACACTACTTGGATATCTTGTAATACTTGAATATCTTATACTACTTGGATATCTTATACTACTTGAATATATTATAATACTATACTACTTGAATTTAATATACTACTTAAATATCTTCTTGAATATCGTAGAGAAGGAAGAACTAGTGCACTACAATATAAATGAATCGAACTACATTTCACATAGAACGCCAAAAACGTTAAAACCCATTGCACATCCGATACTACAAACACAACAACACAGCTGATACGATTTGTGAGACCGAACTGACTTACTTACTGGCATCGGATAAAAAACCTTTTCTTTTTTTATCTTCGCTCCCCTGGTCTTCCGTTCGTAGACACTCTTGGATGGATGTTCTCCGCTATTGGGACCGTCCACACTCTCTGTATCAACGGATCACATGCCGAATCAGTGTGTGCAGAAGGGTTGGCACACGTGACAAACGCAAACCATCGAACAAGGCGTGCGTGTTATAATGTATTGGGGCGCGTGTATAGTACTGGTGCGAATATGCACAACAAACGTTTCACTGTGAGGCGAAGGATCAGATGCCTGTTGGTGTATGTATGAGTGTGTAGCGTTGATGTGAGTGTATGTACGAAAATGGCCGAAGAAACGTTCACTTGCGATTGTAGATAAGAACATCAGCCACGCGACACAGACACGCATGCGCACGCTACGCAGCACAAGGTACACCACCCAACACACCCCAAAAAAACATACACATATCATCAATTGTGTAAATAAACACACACCCCAAAGTACATGCACTTATCATCAATTGTGTAGATAAAAGTGTTCTATCCACACACAAACGCACCAAACCGTATAATACCTTCTCCAGATACCCCAAACTCAGCCGCAGGCTTTTGACTCGGCGGCTGTTGCACTGCATGAGTCATGTCTGGGGGTACGCTATCCAGACTTTCCGGTTCTTTGTTATATGCATCTAGAATCGCGGCAAGTTCTGGATGGTAGGTAGATATATGGTACGTAAATACATGGCACGCAGATATATCGTACGTAATTACATGGTACGTATATATATGGTACGGATATATATGGTACGTATATATATGGTACGTATATATATGGTACGTATATATATGGCACGTATATATATGGTACATATAAATATGTATATATATATATGTTCAACATCACAGCTGGGCAATACCCAGTGGTGTATATTAAACAAATATGTCGATGTATATTTGTATGGGAAGGCTTATATATTTGTTCTATTTTCTTGATCCACTGGTGAGATGCCAAACCAGACAGACAAAAAACGCCGCATCGGAATAAATTGCTGCATCACAGCTATTGAAAATGTCAAGCCAAGAATACACGATACATACATACA